ATGAATCAGATGAAATGTCGTATAATTTATTAGTGTTATTGTGCGTAGGGAACAAAATAATGTCCATATTTATTTCGACGTATGTAGCCGGCACGTTCTCCTCGGCGTAGGTAATTATTAGGTAGCATTTTCTAAGCAATTGGTTGTTTACCGTGGCACCGCTCGCATGTGAGATAAAGTTTGGACGGTTGATTTCTTTATTACGGAACAAAAATACGAAATGTTAATGTTGACTTGCCGCCAATTGACTTTTCTATTTAATATTTATATTTATAAGCGATCAAACACTCTCAAGACTGTGATGAGACGTTGGAATGTTTCTAACACAGCTCGATTTTTTATCCAGTTAAAAAGCGTAATCCGCAACAAAGGAACAAAGAGGCTCCTCTAAAAACTCCTCGACTATTCAAACCGGGCATTATTTTTCAACTTAAAAAACTTAGTGAAGTCGCTGACAAAGGTTGAGCTAGTAAATCTTCTTAATTAAAAAAAAATCGCTCCCCACGGAAAGAAACATAGAGGATGGGGACAGTTAGAAAAAAAAATGTAGCGGTTAAGTAACCCTTCCCATATCCGAAATTATGTTGTCGTCGTATGAGAGTCGGATGACAGGTCGAGTTATTTACGAGTTTACACGCCGCTCCGACGACATTGACGCTTTGGCAATATGGACCCGAAAAATGAAACTGTTAAATATGTTTTGACACAATTTTTTATGAGTTCGGAGACGTATATTGAGTGCGAGTGTTAAAAGAAAAAAAAAAACAATGTGGCTATTAAGATTTAAGGTTGAAAACATAACGCAACTATATCCCGAAAATACTATTATAGTATGGATTTACCATGAGATATTTATATTATAAATGCGCGAAAAATAGGTCGACACTGCTGTGGTAGATCGATATTTGATAGACAAGAACGTTTGGTTTCCTTAACACAAGTATGCACAGCACATCAGGACTTGAACTCGGGTTGCTATCCAGTTCAAGATGGTTAGGGTTCGGGCATTGAGATACCACGGCTTGTTATAATAGCACAATAAATAACAGAGCAATTACAATAAAATTGAATACCAAGTATAATCCAGTGACAATTTTTATCAATTAGTTTGCCCTATTCATGAAGTGGCGATAGGCCATATATCTAGTAGAACTGATAACCGTTGGGCAAGAAAGATTCTCGAGTGGCAGCCTCGTACTGGCCATCGCAGTGTAGGACTACCCCCCACTAGATGGAGTGACGACCTGTGCAAATGCTACTGAACGGATTTTAATGAAACTTTACAATAATATAGCTTATACATAAGAATAAGACATAGGCTATAATTTATATACATATTTTATGTATATTTGTCTTTCTCTCTGAATGTTACGCCTTCAGCCTATTCTACGCAGACGTAATCGCGGGTAGTAGCTAGTGATACATAAGTTTCAAGTAATAGCTACAGTAAACGTAAGGACCAAGTACATTTTAATGAATGCACCATTTTTTTATTCGAAATGATCAAGAACGTTCGATCATGCTTAGTGCTAGAGTCCCTTCGACGAGTATTTAACCCCATAAGTTAAGTTGTGATGCACCTTACCCTCTCACCCCTTAACAAATAATTCTTAAGGAAGAATTTATTTCGCCAATAATACGCTGCTTTATACAGTCGCCCTTTGTGGAGGATCATAATATTGTAGTGACATGTTATTTATAATCTCTTTATGGGGCTAAAATACTAGGTGTGCAATCAATGGACCAGATATGATGTATTGTTAGGAAGCTTCGAGTACAAATGTATTTGTCTTACGCAAATCTCCGTACTCAGAGACTTCTGTTAGCTCTTAATTACAATTAAATACAATCTTTTACTAAGTTCATTCTAAAAGATAAATGAATTTTATGCTATTTAGCCGGACATCTGCAACGAGGGTTCCAGATGCGTTGACAACCTTTTCTTTATGTCCCTGTTACCTCACCCGTTAACTGTCCCGGTTACCTCACTGACCAGACGAAATGGGAAACTTCAACTTCACGCCGGTCTTCTGTCAGGCCTGCGCTCTTCCCGACTCGTATCATGAACACGATGGTTCAACAAATAGCGTATTTTGTTAAGCGTTTTCAGTGAAAAGAAAACCGTTCAAATCTTCCCTGCATACACACCAAATCACCTGCAGAAGTAATACGTTACGAGATGTCTCGCTGTTCATCACGCGTCTCTCCTGTCTTGATAAACATATGGCTCGGCCAACTATTCCCTAAATCCACGGTGGGAATCTTTACATTTATCCCCAAAGCCCCGAGCAAGTTTGTATAATAATAGTTAAAAAGTTGCAACGAGTTTATGGCAGCGGCGCCCCGCAATATATTCCTGCCTCGTATTCGAACGTCGAACTTTCAGCGAGGCGGTCGAACGGGACCCCGGGGATATGAAGCGAACAAAGATCGCCCAGTCCACAATTAGCGAAGTCTTTCCCGCGTGTATACCTTACTTTGTTTGGCAGTGGCTTTGAGTTTCGACTATGTCCGGTCATATGAAATTTTCGAAAAAAAAAAACAACCGTTTTTCGACTGAGAAAGAGGTTCTTAAAATTGAAAACTTCATTGGTGCCGGCACCGGGGATCGAACTCGGGTTGCTCGAGTATATTGAATGAAAACTGAGCGCCCGCACAATGAGGTATCGCATGTTTGTTACTTCAGAACTTCGTCATTTATGAAGTGATCTTAAAAATTATTTTTGCAATGGAGTTCCGTTCGGCTCCCGTGTGGTCTTATATTAATGTCATTGATATTCATGGATTAATAGATATATCAAGGTATTCCTCAAAATCAAATAGTATATCGAGCAAGATATTTGAAGTCCAAATAACTGATGCTGTCGCGTTTGAATTGAAATTCTTTTATATTAAAATGAAACTAGTCAACGGATTTTATCGCGTTTTAATTTCCATTTTTAATTCCCGTCCGTCCAGTGACCGTGAACGTTGAAAAGGGTTTCGAAACGTCGGGAATTAAAAATCAAAATTAGAACGCGATAAAATCCTTGAAGTAGTCCCATTTAATATGTATAATATTCGCGTAAAATCAAGAAATCAGTATGAAATTCGTTAAGCTTCGTGTTTTTTTTTATTCATAACTGGCCAGCACTTAACTGTCCTCCCACCTGATGGTAAGCGGCGATGCAGTCGTTGATGGTAAGCGCGCTAGCTCAGTAGAAACCTATTCACTCTTGCATTGAAAACGCCTACGTTGTATTGTTGCGATGTTCGCTGCATTCATGTTCAATTGGATCATGGATTGGACGATGTGGTGTTTGAGGCCTTCATCTCGAATAGGGTCTTTAAAATTATTAATATTGTTTCGCGCTAAAAGGTGCTAACGGTAGCTTGATGTCTTATGGCGTAGGTGCACTTTGATCTGGATTGCTTTAGACTCCGAATCATCGTAAGCAGGCATCGGTGATTATACAAGGATTTATGGTCTGTCAAATGTCGTGTTATAGGGAGTTTTATAGAAAGGGTTTTAAGGGTATATATATACTTTTTGCTACTACTAAGTGTTTAAGAACTCTCTTTAATACGTAAAAAAAAATGGTAAATACCTACTTCTGAGAACAACTTATTCTATACCATAAACTATTAATCACATTAAAAAAACAATCCACATCGCGTCGGGGCCGTGGTGACACTCTGGAAGTACCGAGGTTTAGATTGGCTAAAACCAGAAAGTCGTTTCTAGGAGGATGCATCAACTTTTATAATAAAATAGGTGACATCCACAAACAACTAAGTATAAACAATTTCAAACAATTTGTAAAAGCTACCTTAATGGCAAGGGCCTACAATAATATCCAAGAATACATAGAGGACAAGGATGTTTGGAAATGACTCTTGATCTGCACTTGCAAGACCCCTGGCTGCTGCTGATTTTATACCCAAATAAGTGCGTATAATTGCATTAAAAAAATATATATATAACAAAAAGAACAAGACCGCAGAGTTTCTTGCCGGTTCTTCTCTGTGCAGGTCTAGTTTAGTGAACCGGTGGTAGATTTTTGTTGACGTTCAATAAGAGCTCAAGTTAGGCCTATATTGAATAAATATACTTTGACTTTGACTTTGACTTTGACATTTAAATTAAAAATTGGTGACCGTGTTACTTGAAACTTCTGAAATTGAAATTTTCAAAGCGAAATATGAGATAACATTATTTCAATCGCCAAGAGAGTTGAACGAAGAGATATCCTATATAAAGTTATATTTTTTTATCATACAGTTTCAAGGTATAAATAAAGAGAAAGGGGTTATTACAAGTTTAATTTTCTTTCAGTTTTTAAGAGAAGAAGGTGGACACGGTGGTGGTTCTAATTGACAGCCTCGATGCTATTAAAAAAAAATCAAGTGTTTTCCCGCAATTCACATGTGTTGAATTCTAAATCGACTTATTGTTTTTTATGCATAGAGTTTTCCTTAAGAAACTTTCGTACTGCGTACCTAGCCATGGTAATTCAATGATTAAGACTGGATTAAAATAGTTGATAGGACTCAATCTGAAGCCACGAGTAGAGGTTCCAATCCAAATATCTCGTTTCCAACAAGTTTTCTGCCCTCCTAGTTCTTGCAAAATTAATTTGCACGTTTGTTCGACTGGTTATCGCATTATCATACAGCGACATCATTGCAGGATTGGTAGATTGCCTTTAATTCTGATTATAACTTTGTCAAGCCAAATAGGCACCACGCTAATGATAAGGAGACCACAGAGTTACGTAATCAAAGGTAGAGCTGTTCCAACTGACCCAGTAAGGTATTTTTTGATCATATCAGATATATAAGTATTATTTGGTCATGTCAGACCAAAACTGACTTGACAGCGGGGTTAAATTCCCACCTGAGCTCGACTGCCTTATCTTAATTATGCCGAGAAGTCACAATCGCGCGACGGCCGTGTTCGAAATTAAAACAACGCCACAATCGTCACAAAGGGGCGCCGCTAACGATAAACAAGGAAATTAGCCGCACACTAGGGTGTTTGCGATTAATCCGCCAAATTGGACGGGGCCCCGAGTGAAATCGATTAGGGCCGAAACGCACGGGGGCAGGAGATCCGCGGCGCTGCTCTCGCCCAAGATAAACATGCCCACTTTTTTTTTTCTTGCGCCGAAGACATTAACCAAGGACGCCCTTAGGGTGGCCACACGATCGTCACAGCGGAGACAATATTTAATCAATAAAGCGTCCGCTCCCACCGTAGTATTTCAGGGTTTCTTGAGTCCAATAAATAACGATGGATTGGTGCTTTTACTTACTATAATTATCAAGACCATTAATGTTTGATATGGAACTCTCAGAAATTTACATTTGTAATAGTGCTAATCTCTGTGCTTAAGATTGAACATTAAATTTGTAGAAAAAGTACGAAAAAATTGTCTCCGCTGTGGGAATCGAATCCAAGTCTTCTGCATTAGCGACCTGACACTCTAGCCACTAAGCTAAACGGCTGATTGCCAACCGACGAAAATCTTAACGTATTTTTTTTATTTGAAATTTCAAGCTAGCAGGCTACTCCCAAATAGTTTGAGCCCTCCAAATTTTTTGAGCACTTGGTAAAATACAATACTTGTATCGAATATCAACGTTAATTATTTTTTATGTGACACTAAGATCTTAATTCCCAATTCTTCCATAATAGTATATAATATTAGCCAGTATTTCACACAGATATTAGTTCTGATATTTCGTCAATTGTATATGATAATAACCTTTTGCATTTAAAAAAAATTAGGTTTAATTAATTAAGTGTAAATCATCACTCTCATTTAACTGAAGTAAAGACGATCTTCCTTTTTGGGTATTCATTTCAAACAATAAAAACCACTGCATTAATAATATAATATATCGGACACATTTTTTACACAACGTTCTCTAGTCCCAAACTAAGCAAAGCTTGTACTATGGGTACTAGATAAACTGATAAACATACTTAAACATACTTTTCTTTTGTAAATAAATACATATTATACATATATAAACACCCAGACGCTGGAAAAACACGATGTTCATCACACAAAATTTTTCCAGTAGTGGGGATCGAACCCACACCCTCTGGCGCAAGAGGCAGGGTCACTACTCCCCACGCCAATCGGGTCGTCATTGAACCTTGTTACCACATTTGTCTCCATTTGCTAATCCGAACTCTCGAGGACTCGAGGAAAATTCCACCGGGAAGCGCCACCCGCGTGGCCGCCCTAGCGAGTGTCATTAGACCGAGCGCAGGGGGCGTCATTACGGCGATGAGTAGAGCGACCATTAATCTTCCCGGACCGGTCTCCGGGCCGTCAAAATTGTGGCTACCGTCGCCCGCGACATAGATGCCCTCGCCCAGCCTCCATTGTGCGGGCGATTGTTTCCGTTGAATGAGGCGAAAACGAGTGGCCCTAATGTATTAGACGGCGGTATTAATCCAACGCGGGCTAATCCGCCGGTCGACTTGCTGGCTAAGGTGGATGGAGCGGATCGCAATTGTTTCGCCCCCCACTAGGGTGTATGCAAACGACGCGTTCATGCGTCATCGAGGTTTAATCATTCGCAGGAATAGTTAGAGCTTGTATCTTTATATATAAAATTCTTCGGTACGTGTGCATGCCACTGAACTCCTCCTAAAATGCTGAACCGATTTTAAAGAAATTTTGCGTGTCTTCAGGTCGATTCGAGAACGGTTTAGATTCATAATTCGGCCAACAAATTTTTTTTTATTTCTAAATTGTAAGGACAACGACTCATCACTATAGGGCAATAATTTAGTATTGGACAGTATTATAATTCGATATATATCGTGCCAACAATGGCGGATTTACAAATTTGCCGCCAATAGGCTATTATTTTTTTTTTATTAATTATATACATAATATAATAATGATCATACATGTATACGTAGCACTAAAGGTTTACATTTGAGACTTATACGTAACGAGCTGAACCGGCGAACTTCGTACCGTCTAAGAAACAATGAATGTCGTGTTACCGTTTTGCCGAACTTAATTTAGGCTTGTTTGAACGTAATGCAAAATATACAAAAGAAATATTAACTTTAATAATTTGATATTAACTTTAATAATTAGTGGAGTTAATACATATCTTAGCAGGTAGCATTGGTACCGATACCAAGATCCTTAATTATAAAACAAACTTTTGGCCACCGAGCCAACTAAGTCATCAATTCTACTGTTACCACTAAGGCTACTAATAAATACCCAAAAAGCGCTGACCCGCAAGCAGTACCCAAAAAGACTGGCGAAATTGTTGCTCAGGTAAGACAATAATATAATCAGGTAAGATAAATCATCCTGAGCATATTTGCCACATGTTGTTTGGTACGTGACAAGTTACGAGCCTGTCAGGTCGGCTTTAGATTTAGTTTAACTATCGCTTGGTTTTGTCGCAAACCTTCATATCGTATGTTAATGACTGGTCAGAGGCTCAAACAAGACGATTAATTTGATTTGACCCCTTCCCTGAGTTTGTTGTGGCTGATGAGACGTTGTTGTATTTTGGTAATATACCGCTAGACACCTTCCCAGCGTGTAGGGTTTTTTATATGAAAAATTTCCAAGCAGACTTTTTATTCCATGTTATTATGGTTCTTATTCTGGCCGTTTCGAATTTTTTAAGTCATCCTTTGTTAACCGCGTACTTATTTCATAAGCGATTTTATTCGCATTTCATAGTAAAGTAAAGATACGGGAAGAAAAGCTGACGCGACAAATTAGTTTTATGATTTGTGCTGTTTATTATTACGTGCACATCGAGAACTCTGCCTAGTGTTGCATTAGTACGAATTTGAATAGTCTTACATAAATAAGATCACATTATCTATGTATCTATATATTGCCTAAATTAGTTCCATAAGGGATTACCTTGTTTTCTTAGCATGTTACAAAACATAAGTCTTGAGGCTTAAGACAATAGCCGTCCGGCTTCCCTTAATCCGTCGTAATTCTACGCGATAACATTTCAGTGGAGATTCGTTCGTTTAGAAGTCAGTGAAGGACGAAATTTACAACCACAAGCGATTTATGTTTCAGCTATTTCGAAACGCATGAACACAGCTCAGTGCTTAAATGGAGTAAGATTCGTTTCTTTGTGCATTGGAGTCTTACTAAAAGTAAAAAAATTAAGTATCTGTCTATACATGTTCCACTGCTAAGGAGTGAGCAAAACCCTACTCTGTATAAAGGAAATTAGGGCACAGTCCATCGCGCCACAACACTGCGGATTGACAGACTTCACATATCTTCGAAATATTTTTTTTATTTGTTTCGAAAATATGCTTGCTTCCTCACGATGTTTTCCTTCACTGCTGAGCACGTTATAAGTCAGCACTTAATATTAACAATTTCATTGGTGCTGGCGATGGGATGTGAATCAGGGTATTCGAATTTAATGGATTAAAACCGAGCGCCGAACACTAAGCTATAATGGTTCTTAGCTTGAGCTATATAACTGAGTCTTATTAATGGAGTATAATTAACTGCAATGGAGTATAATTATCTGCCGATTGCAGTATATGTTGTATGAAAATCATAGCAGGTAAAGTCATTTTATAAAAAAATAAATGATCTCTTAGCTTATAAGGACTCGTGTGAACGTCAAAATTGAATTTCATGCAAATTAGGATCCTTTCCGTTCTAGGCGTATAGATTTTTAAATGAAACACAACATGGTTGAAAAAAAAAACTGATTACAAACCGCCTCAGGCTACCGTGAAATCATAAAGGCGTGAATATTCAAAATCCACAGCATCCACATCACCTGGTGCAAGATATAATTAATATCGAATATAAAGCAACGGATTCGCGTCAAATCAACCGTAAAATCTCCCAGCCCTGACAAATGGATTCCGAATACGCTCCCTCAGCATGACGATCATTGACATTGTTCATATTCCATTGCTGCATTGATTCTTTGAAGAGCACGAATTATTTGTACTGAGCCAGCATTGGAATCATCACGAAATTTTCAATACGGAACTCATAATAAAAAAAGAACATAGGGTTAGCGAAACAATGGACGATTTTGTTTCTCAGAGAGATTATGACAAATGATTGGAGCATACGTCTTATTCAAATATTCTTACGTGCATAATTGATTCTGACGTACTGCAATTAAGTCTTTGCAGATGTTTGACAGTCGGTTAATCTGTATTGTGAGTTTATTAATACGTTTATGTCGCCTGACTGATCGTTTTGCCGTTTTAGTTCTGTGAGAAAATTTTAATATGTTGTTACGCCCGACGAATGCGTGGTAAGGCTCGAGAGTAATGGAGTTAGATAGTTTACTTTAGCAAAAGAATGAGGGAATGTTGTAAAGGGCCTTTACCTAGTAGCAGAACGAAACATAAACATGATAAAGGAAAGTAATTAATTTAGAAACTTGATTAATGGCGTTTAATTTCAAGTCAAATTGCCAACATACTCTGACTAACGTCAGTTTTAAAATCACTAAATTCCGTCCAATCTATGCGAGAGTGCTTACTGTATCTTTAAGTCTTATAAGGTCTTGCATGAAGTGTGCGGTTGAGTATTTAATTATGAAATTTTAATTGTTAATCTGGATAGTTAAGGGAGTATTTAAAAGACAAAGGAAGAAAAAACAATAGTAATAACAATTGACCGTCAGACAAATAGTTTAAACAGTGACTATTAATAAAGAATTCGGGTTTAATTGAACATTGTTAGATTGTTTATAAAATATTTTTTTTAATTTAGTGTTACGCTCTGCACTCAATATGAAACTTTAAATGTAAAGTTTATTAGATTTATTACAAAAACGCAACGGGATTCAAACCTGCGTCTTGTGTGTTAGCGTCGAGATTTTGCCACTTAGTTGGTAAATCTTCTAGGCGCGTTCAGAAGTGCATCTTTCGATTTTTGCAGCGCGGATAGTTTTGGTCGATCCATCTACAAAAGTTCATATTGTTAGATTATTGTTGTCGTTTCATCGAGCTCCTCCGAAAGTCGGATCAGATGTTCGTCAGATTTTTTTGCCACCGCCACCGCCCGAAGGCTCCGCGCGAAGATTTCGCCTTCTCGATCTGCTTACTTTTTTATCGTTTCATTATTGTACGGGTGCGTGGCAGTCATCAAAATATCGTTAGCGGGGTGCAGTACGGTGGGTATATTGCCAATTTTTTTCTCGTAACTCAACAAAAAGTCCGCTCCCGCCGTCACTTTATACACACATATGTCACTTTTATTGCGTTCGGATGTATCAATGTGATATCGTGGACTTTAGGATGAATAGGAGATCGCTTCTGTTTATTTCTTTGTTCGCTTGTGAGCCGTCTATGTGTTGGAACGCGAATGGCCTGTGAAACTGCTGTTTACGTTTTTTGTGCATTTGAAAGAGATTCGATAATTTATGTGTTACGAGTGTTTGGTTTAATTGTTAGCTAGTTGAATTTAAGTCGAAGGGCGGATTATAACGGCGTTATGAAATCGGGTCACGTTGTATTAAATTCTTTTATATTAGCCCTTTACGTTAATTTGATGAATTTAAACGAAAAATTAAAAGTAAACTTATGGCTAAAGCCTATTATACTATTGCCGAATATCTTGACGACGCCAATGTGTGGGGTTAATACTGTTGATACTCACGTAGGCTAAAACAAGACTATTGTACCTGTACTATTATATTGTAAACTGATTTTTTTAAAAAGAGCAACTGTTGAGTTCCTTGCCGGTTTCTTCTCAACAGAAACTGCTTTCCGAACCGGTGGTAACTTACGAACGTGTTAATTTCTTTGTAAAATTTTGACGTTTCATAAGAACGCGCAAGCGTCTATGTGAATAAAGATATTTTATTATATTTATTATTATTTGGTTATAATATAAGGCATATTTGATATATTAATGCGAATATATCTTTAAGACGGTACTTGCTTAAAGACTCATTTCAATAACCTTTCTAAAAGCTCGTTTTATTTCTTTGGTTAACTTATGATTTATGTTCCTTAAAAAAATAGTTATTTTGCGAATAATCACTATTACAATCTTGAATTTACTATAGATAGTAATAGCACAGATTAATAAAAAATACACCGAAGTTTCTAATAAAACAAAACAACAAACACAGGCCTAAACAATTTGATCGCGCCAGTTTTTCCGTTCGATAAATTTTTGTGGACCAAAAGACAGGTCAATAATGAAGAGGCTACTGAACTAATGCGTGTAACGACAGATTTAGTTAGACAAATAATACACACACACAGTAAAAATAATACACAGACAGATTAAAAATAATCTAATACAGCACCAGCAATCTCATCGCCGCATCAACACTTTCCCGTGCATAAACCATAAGAGAAACCACACAGATCTATGCGTAATCTGTTGCAAAAACCGCCGATAGTAGAGATAAGACTCAGGAATTCGAGTCCACGCCGATGAGCCCATCAGAGCCCGTTCGAAGCCAACAGTGGGTGTCCAAGCCGCGCTTACCGCGGCAATTTCTAATCGCATACGTTTCGGATTATATACGCCGTGACGATAGCAAAGACACTAATCTCTTCAGCATTATAATATATAGCTAAGCATGCAGAAAGATACCTATGCTTCTTTTCTCATTGTCCTTCATGCACAACACGCATGATATAAGCCATGCATGGTATATAGAAAAATTAGTATTCTGCATTCTTTCTTAGCCGTGATAGCTCAGTGTCCGGGCGCTCGCCTTTAATTCAATATACTCGAGCAACCTGAGTTCGATCCCCGGTGCCGGCACCAATGAAGTTGTTAATTTCAAGTGCTGAATTATCACGTGCTCAGCGGTGAAGGAAAACATCGTGAGGAAACCTGCATATTTTCGAAATAATAATTGAAAAAAAATATTTCTAAGATATGTCAAGTCCGCCAATCCGCAGTGGGGCCGCGTGCTGGACTATGCCCTGATACCCTCTGTACAGAGGAGGCCTTTGCCCAGCAGTGGGACATGTATAGTAGGCTGATACTTTACTTTTACTTTTATTCTTTCTTCATATAAACTTTAACTAGTATTAACATAACGATGACGTAACTAATATCTACTTAGCTGGTGAAGTTTACTTCGAATACGATATTATTAGACTAAACTAAAACTCTAACTGTCGGGTCTTTGATCCTTGCTGTACTAAGCATGTATGAATGATGACGTAACGGAAAAAAATACCAGTGGAAAATAACCGTAAGTAATCACTAATTCGAACATCGTTCAAGTACATGATCGGAACGCGATGTGCGCTCAAGATGAAATGTTCCCAAGAAATTATGTAAATTCTCGCATCGAGAAGAAAACTAAGCGATCGCAAAGACCTCGGGATATATAGAACATGATTAATCAAAACATACTGAAGAGCCTCGCCTAATTTACCTAATCCATCAGCTATTAAAATGTCAGTATCGCCGTTAAGTAATATTGCACTGTATACTCATCGCCTTTACATTTAATTTTCATTGGCAATTTTATCCAGTGTATTACATGTAATTTTGTGCTTTAAGCTAACGGGCATACGATTTAATTTTGTTCGAATTAGAAACGGTTACGAATAGGGTTGTCCAAACTGACATTTGCATATTTTTGCAACGCCGCGGGCGTTATCGGCGCCGATGCTTCTATTGAATCAAGTGTCTTGGGAATGTGCAATGGACCATTTAAACATATGCCGTCGTGCAAATCATTTTGTCACTTATTTTCGTCGGGTTAAGGTTCCGAAAGGCGTACTCAGCGGCAAACGTATCGTTGCATCGCACCCGGTAATGATGCGTGCTGAATCGCTAAACAGGTTTTGTCTATTTAGTATACGACGCGCGAATTCTTTCTTTCTCTCCGTTTGTCTAGTTATAAATGGTCTAGTTCGGGAGCGGGACGCGTATGCAAATTTGGATTTTCGTGGGAAGAGTCTCGGCTGAATGCGGAGATAATTTTTCTTGCGTCACTTGAATAATTCATTAAAATGTTCGAATTGCGTTCGAATTTTGAAAAATGGAACGATCTATTACGTAGGTAGCTTAACCAAGACCTCATTACTATAAATTGTGAGAAAACATAACGTTTACTCATTTTTAAATTTTTTTATGCGAAAACTTGTCAAACGAGCAGACGGTTCACCTGATGTTAAGTGAATACCGCCGCCCATGGGCATCTGCCACACCCGAGGGTTACAGATGCGTTGACAACCTTTTGAAAATTAGGCTCCGGCTACCTCACTCACCAGACGAAACGCGAAAGTATTTGTCATACTTCCACTTTACGGCGGTCTTCTGTGAGGTCGTGATACTTACCCGGACGGGCCTGCCCATTCGTGCAACAGCACTTTTGCGAAGCCATGGTTGCGGTAAATTTTGATGGTGGATTTTTTTTAACTGTGCCTGTAACTCCTTGGTATGGCATGATGAGGTGATGCGGAATCAATACTCGTTTAATTTGGTTAGTGAGGTGGTCAAGGTCTACTCTTCTTGCAGAAGTATGACACTACCACCTCATGCCGGTCTTCTGTGAGGTCATGGTACTTAACTGGACGGACCAGCCCACTCGTGGCCCTATCCTGACACAGGATGTTCCAGAAATTTTAAATACAGAAACTCTAATAATGTTTTCTTACGACTAATGATAAAATGCGTCCGATATTCTTGGTATAACGATATCGATGGTCATATACCATTTAGCGGCACATGATGAGTGAAGATTTTAGTGGCAGACCATCTCACGGTGGTAGGGCCACTCAGCAGCCTCGGCTGTTGTACGAATGGGCAGGCCCGTCCGGGTAAGTACCATGACCTCACAAATACTTTCGCATTTCGTCTGGTGAGTGAGGCAGCCGGAGCCCAATTTTCAAAAGGTTGTCAACGCATCTGTAATTGGGTTTGGCAGATCTCCATGGGTGGCGGTATTCACTTAACATCAGGTGAACCGTCTGCTCGTTTGGCCACTTTTAGCATAAAAAAAAGGCTGTTAATACATAAAATAACTAGAGTAAGCAATCGAGATATAATTCAAATATCGACAAGTTTTATTGTTAATTATATTAAGCGCTTAGTAAGATATACTTAAACTGAGATACTAAGCAGAACGTTTGATGAAAGACCATGCTTATTGTTTAGCTAGTCTTCCGCATTTTGTCTGATGTCACAAGTATGATTAAAAAGTTTCGAAAAATCCGTAAATTCGGTTTAATTGACAATACATAAAAAAGGGCATCTCCTACACTAAGATTACTAGTAGATTACTTAGATTATAATTTAATTTATAGCAATAAAATTGAAATGTTTATCTGTGATAATGGGAAATTTGTTGATGAAGTGCCCTTAATACGGTTCCTGTTCATAAGTAATCGATTGTAGAATTTATGTGTCTGCTTGTCTGATAGTTTGCCTCTGATTTAGATAGTTTGCCTCTGATTTAGGTCAGAAATAGTTAAACACAGTTGGGTGTCGATAAAATAAAAAATTTACTTAAATCTTATTTGGATTTTCGTGAAATGGATATCTTGCATGGTCCGAAAGATAAGAATATGAATATTTTTATTTCTATTCCTTTCTAGCTCCACACAGACAAAGATGCGGAAATAGGCTAGTGCATTTTATTAAAAAAACATCAAAGATTTTTTTTTATTTTTTTTATATGCATTTTTATTATCTACTGGTTTTAAATTAAACAAATTTGAGCTGATCCTGCTCCGTGTATTCAAATTTTGCATGGACGAAAGATAAGAATATGAATATTTTTATTTCTCCCTCCCAGGCTCCGTTTCGCAGTTTTCGTTTCCAATGGAAATCTTGCATGGACGAAAGATAAGAATATGAATATTTTTATTTCTATTCCTTTCTAGCTCCACACAGACAAAGATGCGGAAAGATTTTTTTTTATTTTTTTTATATGCATTTTTATTATCTACTGGTTTTAAATTAAACTCCGTACAAATTTTAAGAATGCCGAATCTCCCATTCCTCCGTATTCGCAGTTTTCTTGAAATAGGATCAGTCTTATCAGTAGTCAGTTCATATTTTAATATACAGATAAATAATATCCATATTTACTTACTTACACATTGTAAAGTAACAGCCTATACATGTCCCACTGCTGGGCAAAGGCCTCCTCTATATAGAGGGTATCAGGGCATAGTCCACCACGCGGCCCCACTGCGGATTGGCGGACTTCACATATCTTCGAAATATTTTTTTTTTTTTGTTATTATTTCGAAAATATGCAGGTTTCCTCACGATGTTTTCCTTCACCGCGGAGCACGTGATAAGACAGCACTTAAAGTTAAAAACTTCATTGGTGCCGGCACCGGGGATCGAACTCAGGTTGCTCGAGTATATTGAATTAAAGGCGAGCGCCCGGACACTGAGCTATCACTTACACATTGCTGTTTATTTAATTAAGATTTAGATGTTCAAGTTAAGTACAGATTAGATTTTTAAAATACTGAAAGTTTAATATGATCTATTTTAGAAAATATAAATAATGTTGGCTTACCATTGAAATGGGTGAGATAAGTTACTTCCGTGTTAAATTAAGTTATAAAAAATTTTAAGGAATTACTCTTTTTTCTTTGAGAAAATATTGTTCATACTGTAGGATTACATAATACTGCACTGTAAAGTTGTTTTATATACACAATATTCATATGGAAAATCATCCAGATGTGTGTTATTTTTTAGCCACATAAATACTTGTATCGTGTGGAAATCGCTCCCACGATCCCTGTATGGCAATAACTTGGCTCATCCAGCAATTAAACTTTAACAGAATTTAGATTTTTAATCATCAATTTCATGGTGTTATTATCTGCACTTAAGTTGAAATTTGTAGAAAAATTGATGAAAAGCTTTGAAACTGGGCCCTAGGGAACATATGCCCGATGCTTTAGCCACCGAGCTAAGCGGCTTATCCTCACACCGACGAAAATCTCTACCCTTTCTGTCTCTAATTCCTTTTTTTGGGGTTCCGTACCCAAAGTGTAAACCGGAGCCCATTACTAGGACTTCGCTGTCTATCAGTTTGTCCGTCTGTCACCAGGCTGTATCTCATGATCCGTGATATTTGGACACTTGAAAATTTCAGAGATGATGTACTTCTGTTGCCGTTATAACAACTAATACTAAAAAACAGAATAAGAAAATATTTAAGTAGTGCTCCTATACACCGGAAAGGATTTTTTGGCGTTTTTATAGATAATGGACCGGAACCCTTCTTGCGCGAGTCCGACTCGCACTTGGCCGTTTTTTATTGAATTTAAATGCATTAGGCAAATAACTGTTGTGTAGCTTCATTAACACTACAGAACATTTATTTGCCTAATTCTGTAAAATAAATGTTCATGGTTCAATGAAACTATAACGGATTTAATCGCGGTTAAATTTGATTTTTAAATTTCATTTTAACATACGCTTGAAAACAAGAAATAAACATAATGTTCAAGCGAATACTACACATGGTTAAACAAAACTATTTAACGGATCTTACTGCGTTTCATTTATTTTTAAATTCTTGACGTCTAATGACTTACTAGTCTAGAAGTAAACTGTGCCACAGACTAGACCACGAATACGATAAAGTAGTAGAAACGTAGGGTGTTTTAAAACGTGATAAAAATAGTTTTATTTGAATTTGTAATATTTATTGATTGATTAAAAATGTTTTATGGCACCAAAATGTTTGCACACAGGCGAACTCAATGCTAAATGGCTTATTATTCTAGTTGACCTTTGGTGGTTGAGAGCAGGTAGGTAATGTACGTCTGGCAATTTTCGCGTTAGTAAAAGAATCCATTATGAAAAATAAGGCATGTAATATTTCATTTATATACAAATATTACATTTATTAATTTTGACGGGTCCGTCTTGATAAACACAAAGCTTGAGCGTTTTTGTGGAATTTTCTAGATTTATTGTTAAAAAATCAATTGGTGTAGTCGGAAGTCGAAACGACTTACAACTTCGTACTAAGTTGCGCGCGGGAAAAAATCGCTTCGCACTAAACCCACTGACCGCAGTGGGAATGCGCGGGGCCGCTTTTTACACCGAAGAATGTAATTATGGTTTCATATATATAAGTCAGTTTATTAATTGCTATGCAAAATCAATAGAATTTATGTCTAAATCGTGTCCGTACCTAATGTCTCTGTCGATTTTATAGCATCGTTACAATTGGTTGTATTAAGAACTGGATTAGAGCTTGAATTGGTACTTGAAATACCACTTGCATGCATGTTAGTTCTACAACCTCTTATTAGTGGAAGTGTTATAATTCTGCGTTTTGTCTAGAGAGTGAGGTAGCTGGGGCCCAATTTATTAACGCGTGGCAACCCATATGCCAACCTACGGGTGTTTCAAATGTCCATGGGCGATGATTATCACTTAACATAAGGTGTACCGCCAGCTTCCCATCTTATACATAAAATAAAAATGAATTGCTGTTCGTTAGTCTCGCTAAAACTCGAGAGCGGATGGACCGATTTGACTAATTTTAGTTTTGAAATATTTGTGGCGGTCTAGGGAAAGTTTGAACGATGAGAAATTATGGAAAAATTGCATGGAAAATTGAAATAGCAACAATTTTATTTTCCCATACAAACTGTACCTGTCAACCTGTCAACTATGTCTGTGTAACCTGTCAAACACTTTATGCGTGCGTTCCGAAAATTCTTTTTCTGTGTTCAGATTGACAAATTCCCTAGAAATAATTTATATGGCAAAACAACGTTTGTCGACTCAGCTAGTCTTACATTAAAATATCAGGGAACTCGTCATTTAGAAAATGTATAGTGAAGCGACTAACATCTTCACAATCGGTTTTGTTTTTTTATAAGTAAAAATGTATGCTCACTTGCCACTTTCTCATAATAAATTTACTTGAACGGCGCCAATTGGTGGTTACAATTACTTGAAATTTGTTTCATGTAGCCTTTTTTTGTAGATTGTGAAGAAGTGCACAAAATTGCAAAAAAAAGAACGAAATTTTTTCTCTCTACAAAAAGTATTCCATGACTGAAATGACGTAAGAGCCTGTAAGAGAATGACGAGAAGCCATAAAGAAATAAAGAAATCAAATAAAGAAAGAAGAAGATTTCTACATGGGAGTACTTTATTTTTTATTTTTTTTTAATAGTTTAATGTGTCACAGGACCCTAGAAGACTACTCCTACGGCTACTTTAATAAGGAAAAGAAAGGAAGGAAGACAAGAAAGTAAGCAAAGATAGATGTGGAAGTTTGAGGCCACATTAATGTCAAATCAGTTTCAAATATGGCTTATAAGAAATAGTATGACTTATGTTTCTCATTGTAAATGTTCCCAATAAGGGCAATCTTATTAGATTTTGGAAGTTTAATATACGAAAAGTTTTTTGAGAAAATCACATTTGGTGATCATTTTGTTTAAAATTTGTAATTAATTAATTTTCTTGTTTTGACAAGAGATTTGGGTACACCAAACGTAAACAAAAATTTCACTTATAGTGCCCCATTTTAATTTTTAAATATATAATTCTTCTATGCGTGTGTACGTCACTGAACTCCCCTAAACGGCTCGACAGATTGTAGTGAAATATTTTGTGTCGATTTAAGAATTATTAATTCACAATTCGGTCCACAATTTTTTTTTTATTTATAAGTTTTCGGATTTATGTCGTGGGTACAGGACAACGTCTGTCGGGTCCGCTAATATATTGTAAAACTTAATCGATTCTATTATTCAATCAATGTCCAACTGAAACAAAATAAAGACAGATCGCCCTTGTCATCGGAATGAAATATCTTTCCGTAAAAATAACTATACAAACATTTCTACTTACGTCCATTCCACCATTGTTCCAAGGCGGCAAGGCGTAGTGGGAGGGGTCGTGGTGCCCCCCTCCCATATGTTCCGCCATAACTGACATCCAGTGCACCAGCCCCTGGGCGCCGCCACCGCCTGACGTGCCTGAAACCAAAACCACATGTCAACCAAATCCCTCATCAACCACAAGTAACAACATGAAGTATCATCATTTTATGGTGGTAGGGCTGTTGCACAAATCTGGTAAGTACCACGACCTCACAGAAGACCGGCGTAAAGTGGACGTATAATTACTTTGGCGTTTCGTCTGGTGAGTGAGGTGGCCGCAGCCCAATTTTCAAAAGGTTGTCAACGCATCTGTAACCCTCGGGTGTGGCAGATCTACATGGGCGGCGGGATTCACTTAACATCAGGTGAACCGTCTGCTCGCTTGGCAAATTTTCACATAAAAAAAAAACAATAACAGACGACCAAACCCTTCATCAACCACTAGTAACATAAAGTATCATTCAATAAGATCAGATGGCCATTGTGTACAGACCTGTCACATGTCTGCTGCCAGTAGGTCAAGGCCAAAGTCTAATACTAATGTTTTTTACATAGAGGCAACAGCATATGCTGTTACAGCAATCAAAAATCTACTAAATCTCACGCAATTCAATCACTATACGCAATTCTTTTTTGTAACTATTTTAATCTACAATTGTAAAGTGTAATAGCCTCTATGTGTCCCAATCCTAGGTAAAGGCCTCCTTTGTACAGAAGGTTTTAGGCTATAGTCTGCCACTGGCCACACTGTAATAAGGCCGCCCATTGTACAACCCTTACATAATTGTTATTTTTAATGTATTCTTTTTACCATGGTGTGTGCAATAAAGAATATTCATTCATTCATTCATTCACTGGACTCCACAATCCAAACAAAGCCTTGCAATTAGCCATTTATTTGATGCTGGAAAATTAAACCCCTAAACCAATAAACCGAATAAATGAATTACACTCTGAAAATATTTTTAAATATAAAAAAATTGCGCATACAAACGTCTCTAAAAATTTTACTATTTCGCAAATAAACTAGATAGAATATATAGTTGGAAATACATATTATATCGAAAGAGTATTTTTCTTACTGGAATCCTGTCATTAGTACGTTTGATTTTAAAATCTGATGGAAAGTTTTATTGTTCACATTTTTCCTGCCAGGAACATTGGTTATATTGGTAAGTAATTCGAGATAATTATACTTTGGACTATAAAGAATTGGATAATTGTCAAATGATTGGAAGAAGACTATGAAAGTTTCCAGTATGAAATGATTACTTGGTGTTGCTCTAATAGGATAAATAAATTTAGTTGTAAGCTCTACTTAAGCTAATAGGATTACCTTAAAACATATAAGTTAAATATACCATAAAATATGCCCACTGGCCTCACATCAATTGTATGAGATTAAAAAAAATATTCTATATAATAGTCTACAAAGAAAATGATTTTAAACGTATTAAAACTAGGCAACTTTAGCTTTCTATTTACGAAAATAGTCTTGAATCCTAGTGGCCCTTAAACATTCACCTAAATATCTTACAATGATACTACATGGACGTAATCTATCAGTTCGACTTGATTATTTGTCTCTTGTCTGTCTGTTCGCCTTCATCAGGCTGTATCTCATATCAAGTTGAAATTTTCACAGACGGTGTATTTCTGTTGCCGCTTTAACCACAAATACTACAAAACGGATTAAAAAAAAATAAGTAGAGCTCCCCTACAACAGATATTCTTGCCGTTTTTATAGATAATAATAAAAAAAATAATGGTACAGAACCCTTCGTGCGAGAGTCCGACACACAATTGGCCGTTTTTAAAAAAAATTAGACACGAATGATAGAGTCGAGCATCATTACCTCAAATATGTAATACAATTACGTAAAAGAAAAGTAACAGCGTTTATGTCCCACTGCTTGGCAAAGGCCTCCTACGTAGGTTAATAGGCCTACTCCACCACGCGACCTCATGGCGGACTACGAAAAATATTTTTTGTTATTATTTCGGAAATATGCAGGTTCCCTCACGATGTATTCCTTCACCGCTGAGCGCGTGATAATTCAGCACTTGAAATTAATAATTTCATTGGCGCCGGCACCGGGGATCGAACTCGGGTGGCTCGAGTATATTGAATTAAAATCGACCGCCCGGACCCTGAGCCACCGTGGCTCGCCGAGCACATAAGCCTCAATTATAGAGATGACGATCCTGTCACAAGTTGGGGCTGATTGAGCTTACCAGTTGGCACGGCGGCTGGCTGCGCGGCTGCTTGCTCCTGACCCCCACCACCGGTGACCCCCCCACCGCTCCAAACGAACGCCGACGACGCACCCGCCTTCTGGAACAAGGGACCGTGTTAATGGTGTGCCAGATAATATAAACAAGTCTTTTAGTAACGATAAAACCGACTTCAAATTTCTGTATTCATTTTATAACTGACTAGCGAACGGCCACGGCTTCGCACGGGTGTAATGTATTACACATATAAACCTTCCTCTTGAAACACTGTCTAGTAAAACAAACCGCATCAAGATCCGTTGCGTAGTTTTAAAGATCTAAGCATACATAGGGACAGACAGACAGCGGGACGACTTTGTTTTATACTATGTGGTGATTTTCAGAAGCTCCCTAAGTATCTCCGGAGCTCAAGATCCAACACCAATGAAATCAATATGGACCCATATGGGACCACACGGGACCGGCTTTCAAATAAAAAAGAATCAAAATCGTTTCGCTCAGTTGAAAGTTCGGAGGTAACAAACATAAAAAAATACAGTTGAATTGAAAACCTCCTTTTTTGAAGTCGCTTGAAAAGCATTCGTAAATGAATGCATAAAGATGGACAATGATAAATTATCTGCTAGTGGTAAAACAATAGGAACTCCTAATGATGTTCCTATCGAGTGGCACTTAAGCCTTTACGGTCGAAGCCTAATACCATATCCATATGCTCAAGTATCAGAAACATCATATTTTTCAAAAATAAACAACCTGCAGGCTGAGTAAGCCACCGTTACGCATAATAATGGTCAGCTTATAAAAGAGACCATACTATACGTGCGATACTCAGAAAGTTTTTAAAAACTAAAAAAGTAACTTACGTATATGGATAAAATATTTTCATTAAATCTTTTCAAGGAACCTTTCCACCAGCCTCTATACAAAGTTTCATGGGTCTGAACTAATTTTCGAAGCACTTTTCCAGTCCGCCGCATACACCTCTTCTAGATAATATACGTCCTTTTCAAACGCTGTCAGCGATGAAAACTGTATCCCTTTCGGTTGATTTTTTATTTTAGGGAATAAAAGGAAGTCACACGGTGCCTATGACCCAGGTGATTATGACTATAAGGTGGTGACCCAAGGCTTTGACCAGTGTAGTGTCCAGGAAGTCTTTTGTGTGCTGAGTGCGCGGACGCGTTGTCATGGTGAAGCAGTACCCAGGTCCGGTCGCTTTTAGCTCTTTGTTCCCTATGTTTTTTGTACTCTATGTTTATTATAATTAGTCCGTCATTGACGGTGTGGACGTCCGTACGTCACTTAATGCACAGGTCCACTGAAAAACAGCGCTGTAGTCTCGTATAGACTGCAGCATTAATCTGAGTGCGGTCTGTTTGCCGTATACGCCACACAAAAAATGTGTGTAAAATGTGTGATTTCATTATTAAAACAAAGAGTCTTAAGTGCAGATTAACTGACACCATAAAAAAACTTGTGTTTCATAATTTTTTTTTCTTTTATGTATTTTTTATGTTTGCGGTTTAAATGTACATGCGGCAAAAATGGTGTATTTGTGCAATGAAAGTCTTTCTTTCTTTCTTTGCAGTTAAAACTTCTGGGAAGCATTTAAGTTGTATATCATTCGGCATTGATGCTGCTCTGATTTCGTAATGGAGTTTATACCAGACTGACTGGGAGTCAAAGTGAAGAAAGTAGCGATCATAATTTTCCCTCCGCTTCCCGGTCGTTTCACTTTAGCAGGCTTTGATTTCGTTTTGCAACAGCCAATGTGTCGACTGACGCTTTGTTGTTGGGTCGAATTGATAAATCCAGTTTTCGTCACCTGTTACAATGTCGGAAACGCACCGAGACGAGGCTGCTTCAAATTTAATAATCATGTCACGGCACTCTTCTTTATTTTTAATTTAGAACTGGCCAGCACTAGACTGCCATCCCACCTGATGGTAAGTGGCGATGCAGCCTTTGATGGTAAGCGCGCTAGCTCAGTAAAAACCTATTCACTCTTGCCTTGAAGACGCCTACGTTGTAATCGGACGGAAAGACGGACGCCGGCAGGTTGTTCCATTCCTTAGCTGTACGGATGATGAATAATGAAGCAAATCGCTTTGTTCTTGTTTTGGGAACATCGACAGCATAAGGGTGGAGCCTCGCCGAACGCCTAGTTGTCCGATGATGAAAAGGAGCAGGAGGAATCAAATTATGCAACTCCAACGCACACTCTCCAAAATGCATCCTGTAGAAGACCGAGAGGCTGGCTGTGCTCAAGGCTAGTAAGGTTGGTTTTAACCAAGTTACGGTCACCAATAAGCCTTTCCGCACGTCTCTCCATTGATTCCACACGGGCCTGCTTCTGAGCTTCGGTAAGGTTGTGCGGCACCCAGCGTAAGTCTATCCTTCTCATGCGAAGGTGTTCATGTATAATATTGTGGACGATTCCCGCTGAATCTCTTTGTATATAAAATTCGGCTGTTTACTTGAATTAAATGTTTTACTCCCAGTATACTTTATTTGGCACCTGTCGACCGACGGTCGAAGGACGAAACTTCTGTTTCATCCCCCAGAATTAGATGGCAATAGACTACTGGTTGAATTCTTTATGGTAGATGGTTGCTTTTGAAGCAACGTTAAGCATCCATAAATGCCATTTGAAGTCTATCAAATTACTCTAATTAGGGACTTCGTCGTGTACATGTATGCTTTGATGTATCGTACAGCTTTGTGTACGATACATCACGTACATACTATGTAAGTAAGGTCAATTTCCAATCGGTAATAATGAAATCACCTCTTTGCCATTGGGTTTATCTTCTATGGACTCTACATCAGTCGCATTTATAAAATTTGTGGTATAGTAGAGTATATCCAATTAGTAAATTTTTGATGTATGTTGTTCAACCCTTCTCTTTTCTTTATAGTGAAGGTTTTAAAGTTGTGTAATTTAATTCGTTGAGAATTCTTTTTAGCGTGAAATAATACGAGTGAAGTGACACGAGCGTTGCTCCAGGCTAAGTCCGGTGCGGATTCATTTGGAATAAAAGAGAGAAAAAGTCGTTCGGAAAGAGTCATGAAAAGAAGAAAAACGAAAACATACAGTAACTAAGGGGTAATCCATTTGCTGTAACAAAGTTCTGAAGGTCAATAGATAGAACAGAAATAGTTGATTATCTCTTGATTGTTTTTACCACTGGGCTTTTCCGGAAGGCATCACTCGCGGTGCATTCGAATTCAATCATAAGGTCTTATAATAACTAATGGAATCACGAGATATATATATATATATATATAATCGGAATCTCGGAAACGGCTCCAGCGATTTTCATGAAATTTAGTATGTGCGTAGATTCGGGGGCGAAAAATCGATCTAGCTAGGTCTCATTTTTAGAAAATTTCCTTTTATCCATGTTTTCAGGGAATGAAAAATATAATTCGAATATATCGGTAAATTTCGCCGCAAGATTAAATGTCATAATAGCTCGGTAGGTAATCGGGCGGCCCCAAAACACACGGCCGTGGTTCGCGTCACGATCATTTACACATTTATTTTTTTACTTTTTTTTCGATTCCAGATCATTGCTTTCTTTATTTTTAATTTTTTGTCGATTTGTTATTTTGTTTTTATTTTCCCTTTTTTCGTTTTTACGTTATTACGTCGGTAAGATCGAAAAATATTATGCATATTTCATTACTTAGTAATTTGTATCTAAATGTAATTTCCAAAATACACGATTTACCAAAAAAAAAAAAAACAAACCGGGTCCTCCGGGTCCTCCGGGTACTAAAATATTAACACAGAAAAGTCTGCACGAGTGATTACTTTCGTGTTAAAAATAGTAGATTAAATACTCATGATGGTTATCTTATTGATTGTTGACTTCGGTAAGCAGCTTAAACTAATTACCCTCGTCCGGCGAGTCCTGGATTCCATCAGCGTTGTCGTCATCGACGGTTTCCGTCGGGAACCCGTTCGAGAAGAGCATGTTCCGTGGATAGAGGGGATAGCATTCCGCGACGTTCCTCCTTCTCTTCCCGAGGCTGGCGAGGAAGCTCTTATAGAGCTGCGTCGGCAGGAGGAACGGGGAGCGGCCGTGGAAGCCGTCCTTGTATAAGCTCTGGTTCCTGAACGGGTTGCTCAAGTCGAAATCGGGTAGTAGCTCCCTCTTTATAAAGTCGGCGACCGGCTGCAGGGTCAAAGTGTTCTCTGTGTAGTCGAGGGCGGTGCCGACCTCGTCCCCCGGCCCGTTCTCAAGGTCGCTGCATTCCGAATTGAGGTCGCTCGACCCGTTGCTGTCCAACTGATCCTTATTCTCCTCGCCATCGAACTCTTCGAATTCCCTCTTCATCGCGAAGTTCGTCTGCTTCTTCATGTACAGATTTGTGTTGGACAACTTCACTGACATGTTATTGGCGACTTTCGAGCACTTTACAAATATATTTCACACTAACTCTCGACACTAGTTTACTAATAATAAAATATATATGTATATATATCTTAGAACAATAAATATTTCTCCATAGCTAAAGTTAGGTAGGTAGTGTTAGGAACTATCGTTGGGTTAGGAGGTTGGCTGGACCGTAGCTGCGGAATAAATTTGACGTCGGGTTAAAGTTTGCGTGAAATTTTTTATCTTAGTCATTTAACTTCGCCCCGTTACGCGGTAGTTTTTAGCGCGGTGATATATTCGCGCGTTATACAGCGAAATGTGCTTAGCACTTGCGGATTAGTTTTTTATATTTAACCATCATCGTATAGTTTATATTTAACGTTCCTCGGTTATTATTTAGAAGAAATCACCCAGTTTCGGTTTAAGTATACGATAAACATTTTATGCTTGATTTAATTAAAAAACGTAACTTCAGGATTTCGTGTAGGTAGATACCACGCTAAAATACTTCCAGAGAAGCACGTTCAACGTCGCGAATTGTGACAGCACTTAATACGCGAAATAAATGTGGGCGCTTACATGAAACCGTTAAAAAAACTTAATATAAATCGAGTATAAGAATGATCAAAACCGAAAAACCATCAAAGGAATATAACGTAGGTGTCACAAAAATTAAGAAAGATAAAACGTCAGTGCGAGAATATCACGTGTACGGCGGAGCGCGAAACAATATTACAATTTATCGTAAGAAAAACAGCGCAATATCGGAAGTACATTACGAAATATCTTGGCAAGCGATCCCATTCGAAGGCGAACGGTTAAAATTTCGCCGAAGGAATAGTCTGAGGCAACCTAAGATTTTTATGACACCGGGAGTTATATCTTTCGGACGGCATGCGCTCTAAGGTCGTGCAACGAAAATAAACCGTGGATTAATCGATAGTTGGGGATGATCGCGGATGTGGCTACGGAAATATTCCGTGACCCGCTGGCATTTCGTAGTTTCAGAAGTGACATTTCAAAATAGACCACAGATCGGACCGGTGGTTTTGACAATAGATTTTGACTTGTGATAGATTTAGCAGATTTTTTAAACGTTTAATCTTGCTTTTAAACTCCCGAGGTTTTGACACTGTACAGTTTTTCGAATTCAAGTCAGACTGTGACGTCTCGTATTTATCTTTGGCGTGAATACTCGTACAAGGAATCATGATAAATTTTAACTATTATTTATTTTAGTCAAAGGACACCCGGATGTGTCCTTTATATTTGACTTAAAAAATGAAATTGTTACAGGAGTCTTTGCTAGCCCAGTGAATGATGACGATCGTGCTCCCTGGTTCGAATTTGTCAAATGCCAAAATCAATCTCGATCGCTATTTCAAAAGCATGCAAAGTGTGGAGACTAATTCGCCATTTATCATATTATGAAACTGAAATATATGGTTAGAGAAACTTTGTATTCTCGAAGAGATATATTTCGCTCGCAATTGATGTTTTTTTGAGCACAGAGAACATATATTATATAGGCAAAGAGTAGCAAAACTAAACACAAAATTAAACTACACAGTCATGCATTAATTATCTATTAAGAAAAAAGAAGTAAAAGAATGTAAGTGGTATACATTTTTTCTCTCATATTACTCATTCTCTCATATTACTACAAACAAATCTAACTTATCTAACCTAAATAAGGTATTTTGTATGATAAAGAATCGACCTGTTACAACTTATAAGGAGCGGTAATGAATAACAATAATTACTAAAAATCCACATAAATATTTACATCCGAGTCCATGTGTCATCATCGCTGAATTTTACGATAAATTTAATAAAAAAGAACGGTATTATCGTTTCTTGACACAGGATTATGGAATATTAAAACTGTATCTAAAATAATATTTATAAATTCAAAATTAATATTCGTTTTTATAACATAGTTGAAAACACTAAGTGAATATCTCACTAGACGAGTATGTGTGGGGTGGTCTTTTTGGATTAGTGGCGGGCTTAAATTAGAATTGACGAAAGAAATCTAATAAAATTTCCAATAAAAAGTCCTTATTTTGTTGTCTGTGACTCGAGTGAGATAACCTCAACAGTTGTTACTCTGAGAATTAGGAGGTTTGGTGACTGTTTACCCCGTAAAGACGAATGGGTGCAGTGAATTTTTCAAGGAATCAAATATAACCAATATGGTCTCATTAAAGGAAGGCAGTAGCTATGCAGTAACTGCCCTGGTATAGGAATAGGGATATGGACGCCTTACGCCACCTTACCTAAAAAGTCACAGGACTTTTTTTAACTGAGACAAATTCATATGATACTGAGCCTGCTTTGAGAAGAAAGTGACAGAAAATCCATAGCTATATTTTTTTACTTTACTTTTACGTCACTACGTGCATCAATAATAGGACAAGAGAATGTATGCTCATGACGGGGCTAAAATTCTTCAAATTCTACTTACATTTTTACATTCCGTGTAAAATGTACAGTCAAATTGGTCTTATAATAAAAGCCAACAAAACTTAAATAGAGTCAGCAGTCCTAAAGGTCGATAATCTTATAACATCATGTAACAAAGACGGATATAATACAGGAACATAGACAATTTTTTTGATAAGCACCGAAGTATTTTCAAGTAAACGATTGGACAACAGTCAATTTATACTTTAGGATTAAATTATCGTATGTTGTAGGGTAAGAGCAATTAATACACATGGGTATTGAACCAGATTAAGAACAAATATTTATAGGTCAAACAGAATATAAGATATTGATAAAAAATGTAAATAATCTATGGAAGTAAGTATTAGTATGATAAATTTATACATTCTTCTATGACTTTCAAGAGGTGATGGATATTTGACTTTTGCAAAACATACGTCATTAACGAAATTCAATAATCGGACGGATGTCAGGGCATGGGAGCAATATTTAAATAGAAGACAAAGAAATGTTTAACAATTAATAAATAAAGAACACGTGAACAACGTTCTCTAGTGCCCTAATAAAAACAGAAATGATGAACTTAAAAGTTGACTAAATGTCAATTAATGTCAACTGAATGTCAACGCATTATTTGCGAGAAGCTGTGGTAGTTATTAAAGGTGATCTAACCAATAGATCAACTTTAATTAATAGCGAATGCTGTGGGGATTCAAACTGACGATCTAAGCAGAGTCCACACATTACTGACTGGGCCATTAGATAAGATTTTAACAGAAATTTTCTTTAAGCCTTACCCTGATTGTAGGATTCTACTGATCAATCTGTTTTAAGTAATTTCATGTTACACGCTTCCAATATAAATAAATCTTGATTTAAATTTGAACTATGCATTTCAGCTACGAATTTTCAGGTGATGATGACAATCTTTTTAAGAAAAAAGTCAGTATTTCATATAATACTGACTTTTTTCTTGAAAAGACTTTTCCTCTAACAGGAAACTACAATAGGTGCTACCCTTTGTTGCTTTCATATCGAAATCATGGTTAAAATGAAAAATAAATTGTCTCTTAAAGCAGAAATTATTGTTAATACGCAAGCCAGTTATAATTAAGAGTTAGTTATATACCATACGTACTCTGTATTAGCCCCATTTCATAAACTACTGACATATTTCCGAATTGACAAAATAAAAAAAAATAACGTTTAAAATTAGAACGCGACTGCGTTAATACACTATGAATATCATGGAATCAATAAAATATATCAAAACCTACATCAAGAATAATTGCACGTAGAAAAATACATTTAAAAAGCTATAAATAATATTTTAATCGAAGTAAAATAAGACATGAAAAAATATAGAACCTATTGACGAAGTGAAGAATAATAAACGAGTAGTATATAATACGTTAAAGCAAATAATAAGTTATGTAAAATAAGTTCCACTTAAAAACAAAATATTTTAATTTATTGCATTAGCACTATCGCAAATAAAATTAATACGTGAAAAATAAAAATAAAAAAACAAACTTGTAGCAAGAAGCAAGTCATAAATGATACGATACGAAGTGTAGAAATTAATAAATTGGCGTGCGTAACTTTGTTAGAAGGAATTATTGAACGGCCTAAGCCGTAAAAACACTACATTAAAGCGAAAAGCCACCGTCGCGTCGGACTTGAATGAAATTTCGTAATCACGTGTATTTCTACGGCACGCGAACGCGGCATTATCATACACAATCTTTACGACGGCTTTAGACGCACACAGGCGCGTATTCATTAACGCACACATTTAAATCACCACCGCACGTGACCCGCGTCATTACCGGTCGGGTCGGTATCGGAACTTTCGTTTGCGTATCGACGCCTCTTACGGACTCCGGCCTAATCCCGCGCACGGACGCCGATGATGCACCATCTTTTGCCGCTTTTTCGTCCGGCCCCCGGGAGCGGTTTTTTGCGCGGATGCCTTTTGAAATTCGGCCCGGCGTGATCGATCGATTATCCGACTATTTTCGGAGTGAAAATCTCCAAAGCCCTCCGCCGAGGCGAGATTGTGTTAGGTTTTTTTTCCCGGTTTTTTGTTTAAATAAATCGTATTAAAGGCGGCGCGGAATTTCTCGAGGAACGTCTAGATGTCTTTACCGCGAGGTATTCGCTATGAAACTCTTCCCGAGAGGTTGCTGCAAGGAAAAGCATTTTCGCTACACATAGAGCTTTCTTCGGTGGCGCGCGTGTGTGTACGGCGTTGTGGCGTCACACGTGTCTGTGTGTTCAGACGGAGGAACCGCTTGCGTGTGTGCGGGGCGCGTCGTAGTGAGCGTGTTTTATGACTCTGAGTGCATCCCTTTCGGACTGCAAGCTATTTGTATGTGTGCGCTTTATTTTTTTTTCTAAACGGCGCGGTGGTGTGTACGCGGGCGGGATGACCGTGTGTGGGTGATATGTTTTTTCACAACCGCTCGCCGTATAGTACACCGTAATGTAAAGGAGCAAAGGTTACTTTCCAACGAACGGTTTTAATGTATTTTTCAGTTTTATATCGGCGATATGAGAATCGCGGA